CACACAGCAGCCACGGATGCCTGTGGTCTTGAGGCTCTGACGCCCGCAGCATGAGAACCGTGCACATTTGCATTTCATCCTGTGTTGGTGCTCAGTTTCCCAGCAGTGAGATGGATACTGAGGGGAAATGGTACTTCCAGCAGGCTTCACACTGAGGCCTCCCTGGCGGGGGGTCTGTCTCGCTCAGATCCCCCCTCCCAGGACTCCAGGTGTCTGCTCTCCCAGGACTCCAGGTGTGTCCTTGGGAGAGGCGTGTGGCTGGAGCTGCTGGCTGGCTTGTTTCTTGGGTCACTCGGGGAGCTCTGGGGCCAAGTCTCCAGACCCCTTCGGCCCCGTTCCTCATCGCCCTCTTCCACATGATCTGAAATAACGTGGTCAGGAAAATAATGCTGTTCAGAAAGGAGCGAGGTGGCTCCCATAGGGTTCTCAGTTTTTCCGGTTCCATCCACACCCTCTGTAGCATACAAAGAGAAGCCACGCGTGTTCTGGCATGTTGCTGTGTGGCATATGGTGGGTGCAGGAACAAGACCCAACCCATCCGAGGGGGGCCTGGCCCAGGCCACAGTCCCCTGAGCAGGATCCCAGGCTGCTCTGCTCCCCCAGTTCTCACGACTCCTGTCCTCCCAGAACCGCACTGACCAGCAATGCCAGTACCGCTGGCTAAGGGTCTTGAATCCAGATCTCGTCAAGGGGCCATGGACCAAAGAAGAAGATGAGAAGGTAACTATTGGGACAGTGTTTTGTACACAGTGAGTCCAGAGACTGAGGCTGCCCTTGCATTTGGCAGCGGCGGGGAGGTCAAGCTGAAGGTTGGGGGTGTGTCCTCCGCTGGTCAGTCAGTCGCACCACCTCTCGGCTGCCACGGGGCTCACGGGAGAAAAGGTGCTGGTGTGAGGCAGGGACAGGCTCGCTGGCTTCACGAGGCTTCTCCCCAAGGTCATCGAGCTGGTGAAGAAGTACGGCACGAAGCAGTGGACGCTGATTGCCAAGCACCTGAAGGGCCGGCTGGGGAAGCAGTGCCGAGAGCGCTGGCACAACCACCTCAACCCGGAGGTGAAGAAGTCCTGCTGGACCGAGGAGGAGGACCGCATCATCTGTGAGGCCCACAAGGTGCTGGGCAACCGCTGGGCCGAGATCGCCAAGATGCTGCCAGGAAGGTGAGCCCCTTCTAGGGGCTTGGGGACAGTGATGACGGGCAGGGTCAGGTTCCCAGCTGGGTGAGAGCCGTGTGGGTGATATTCCTAGCGTGTTCTCTGGAGTTGTTCACTGTGCCCAGAGATGCATGAGTCCTTCAGACTCTTGCCTGCACTCAGCTGCAGGGAGTTCTGGGGCAGGGCACGGCGGGGAGAGGGGAACTGGGGACCTCCCATTCACTGTGCAGATTTTCATTTAGTCCTCTCAGCAATTTGGGCCATCCCTGCCCTCTGCTGTGACCAGGGTTGCCTGGTCTCTTTTTTTAAAGTAAACCTTCCTCCTGCCGGCGAGGTCAGGGCTGGCATCTGGATACCCGAACCACTGCTCTGTTTTCGCATCCTCCTCCCTGGGCCTGGTCCCTCCAAGCCCTGAGCCTCTTGGGTTTTGCAAGGAACATTGGGAAAATTTGGCTCCATTCTTACCCCAGAATCTTTGTCTGAGTCAACTCCCAATCTCCTAAGTCGCTTATTGCTCCCCTAAGTGTTCTCCATCTTCTGGAAACCTAAAAATCTCTTGTATCCCAATGAATTAGACAGTGGGTGGTGCCCATCCTCCCTGCTAGAGGAGACTCTAAATGCAGCTGCCTGTCTTACTTGCCAGTGCGTCCCCAGCCTCGAGTGGTGCTTGCCACATAATAGGCACTCTATAAATATACGTGAGCAAAAGAATGAGGTGCATTATAGCTTGGAGTACCCCAGATCCGATCATGGCAGGGGTGGGCGGGCTTGGATGTGTTTTGGGTCAGCTTCTCTAGAAGCAGAACCTGGGGTGCAGAGGTTAAGGTGCAAGGGGTTTATGGAGGAAGAGCTCCCACCTGTGAGAGGAAGGAGGGGTGGAGAAGAGCAGGGAAGGGGCCCAGCAAGAGGGGTACTCCGCGTCTGGCCTGGACCTGGCATGTGGTCTGCGTTTCCGTGTTTCCGGGTGATCTGCAGTGGGAGTGATCAGAGGTACAGACCCTCCTCTTAGACTGGCTGCTCAGCTGAGCTGTTACTCTCTTCACAACGCAAGGGAAAGCTCTGGGCTGGGAGCCTCAGAAAGACGTGCTGCCGTGGACCGGGATGTAGCAGAGGAGTGGAAAGGCTCTGGGAAGCCTTACGGGCTACAAACATGTGTGACTTCATTTTAGAGCTAAAAGAGGTTCCTCAGGCTGCACCCTCATTTACAGAAGTGGGAGCTCAGCTCAGAGAGGTTAGTGACCTGCTTGGTGGTACATGAGCTACAGGGCCCAGTGGTCCCTCATTTGCCCCTCCCTCCCCGCAGGACGGACAACGCTGTGAAGAACCACTGGAATTCCACCATCAAAAGGAAGGTGGACACGGGCGGCTTCCTCAGCGAGTCCAAAGACAGCAAGCCCCCTGTGTACTTGCTGCTGGAGCTCGAGGACAAGGACAGCCACCAGAGTGTCCACCCCGAGGAAGGCCAGGTGAGAGGGTGCCCAGGGCTGCTCGGCCACTGGGCGTGGCTCGGCTTGGTTGGCTGGATCGCAGGGTTAGCCATCCCTGTCGCATTTAACACCTGTTCTGCCCGTTCACCTTACCCACAGCTGTTCGTTAGTTCCGCTGAGGGTCTCGGTGTGGCCGCCTGTCTCTCACTAGGCCAGGGGTGGGGACGTCAGGCCCGTGGGCTGTGTAAGGCCTGCGAAATCAATACCAGCCTCACCAGATTAGCCCGACCAAATACAGCAGGCTGATTTTTAAGTTGATAATGTTGTGCGGCCCCAGAAGGATGTTATAAATATCCAAATGGCCCTTGGCAGAGAAAGGTTCCCCGCCCTGCACATGCATCTGCACATGCTGAGCACTTGTTTGCCCACAGGTGAAGCTGACATAAAACAGGGTTGTTCTCGGCCTTCCTCGGTTGCTCTCTCCAGCTTTTCATACTAAGAGCATGTTGGCAATATTTAAAATAATCACGTTTATTGAGTTGTGATTTACATACAGCAACATTCCTTGTGCTGAGGGTTAGAGTTTTGAGTCATGACAAAAACATACAGTCATGGGCCCTGGCCAAGTAGCTCAGTTGGTTAGAGCATTGTCCCAACATGCCAAGGATTCAGGTTCCATCCCTAGTCAGAGCACATACAAGAATCAACCAATGAATGCACTAATAAATAGAACAACAAGTCGATGTTTCTCTCTCTCTCCTTCCCTCCCTTTTCCCTCGTCTCTCCCGCTTTCTCTCTTTCTCTCTCTTTCTCTTTCTCTTTCTCGTTCTCGTTCTTGTTCTCTTTCTTGTTCTCTTTCTCCCTCCCTCCCTCCCTTTCCCTTCACCCCTTTCCCCTCTCTCTCCCTCTAAAAATCAATACATTTAAAAACAAGAAAAAATAGTCATGTAATCACCGCCACAGAACCTTTCCACCCCCACCCCCCAAAACTCCCTTGGGCCCCTTTTCATCAGTCCATCTCCCACTCTGAGCTCCTGGCACCCCTCATGTGTTTTGTCTCTAACTCTATGTGGTTGTCTAGAAAGTCATATAAGTGAAATCTTACATTGCAATTATAAAAGAAACCCAATACCCTAGAGCAAAAATTTCCTATTGATGTTTTTAAAATAAATCTCTCACAAGTCTTAAACTGTGAATATTTGAAGCAAATGTGTCAAAAGTGTGAAGGTTTGACAGCACTGGGTATGTGGTGGGTAACAGACTTCGACACTGCTTTCTCGTCTTTTCGGTAAGTGTGCACTTCTGAATACTTTTCCCTGCTCCCCTTCCCTTTCCGACGGGGACTGGGTGCAACCACGTCACGGCTGTCGTTCTGCGTGGCCTCGCTGGACCGCTCGAGCCTCCGTGTCTTGGTTTTCTTCTAACTTCAGATAATACCTCTTGATTCCCTGGTACGAAGACCCTTTTGGGGTAACACATTTAAGTAGTAGAGAAAGGTATAAAATGAAAAGTAAAGCTACCTTGTCCTCCTATCTGGACACCCCCCACAGGTCCCCTAACCAGAAAGGTCTACTTCTCGTGCTTTCATGTGTGTCTAAGTAACATGGTTTTTTTATCCTCACCCAAGGACATTTTTTGATATTTTGTTCAGATAGAGTGGGAGGGAGAGAGAGAGAGAGAGAAACATTGACGTGAAAGGGACACATTGAGTGCTTGCCACCCACACGATCCAACCAGGGCCGGGGACAAACCACAACTGAGGTACGTGCCCTTAGCGGGAATCGAACCTGGGTCTCTCTAGACCGCAGGCCGACGTTCCAACCGCTGAGCCAAACCAGCCAGGGCTAAGTAACATGTTTTAATCCTTTACTTCTGATGGAAGCAGAAGCACATGTGCCATAAAGAGAAGCTGTGGGCATCAGCAGCAGAGAGGTTGTCTTTCAGGATGGGTAGGGCAGAGTGGGCAGACCTTCCTTAGTCTCCGAAGCTCCCCCTGGCTTTTGTCCCCTGGTTCTTTGTGCCTGGAGGGCTGGCTCCTTGGGACCAGGATGAGCCCCAGACCATGACTGAGCACACACAGGTCCTCGGGTCAAAATGCTGGTCTCAGCCTTGTATCATTTTAATGGTTTTATTAGGCTGGTTATCTTATTTATTTAAGGTTATATTCGATTTATTGTTACCAGAAGCACAACTTTCATGGTTTTAATGGCTATAGTATTGTTTATTTAAATAAGGTTAAATACAATTTTTAAAAATTAAAATTTTTTTTTGGCCTTTTGTCTTTTGGGTTAAATCTAGTGTCTTTGTTGTTAGAAACAAAACTTTAAGTATCAGCCTTGTAGCTAAATTGCTGCTCATTTGCTCAATTGTTTCTTGAAGAAATTCTTAGAGCTGGATAGTCATATTCTTAAACTCTTCTTTAGAAAGTACAGGATGCTCCATGAATTTGCGGGTCATCCTTACGCAGGGGCCGCGCTCGTCTTCTCTGTATTGTTCCAGTTGTAGTGCATGTGCCGCCTTAAAAAGCTCTCGATATGTTTGGCTGGATTGCCTGCTGGAGGACTTGCCCATTAATGTGTGGGTGGGACCACCTCCTGCCTCCCAGCCCCCAGTCAATTACAAATTTTCCCCTGTGCTTCACAAGAAATACATGACCACTGTAGAGTTAGCAAGTTCACAGAATTGGTCAGTGTAGGAGGCCACGCCCGCTAACCTCACCGTCCAGAGAGAACCGGTGTATTGTTGACACCAGTGTATTTGCCAACACTTACTACTAAGGGTCATAAGTTGACGTTGTATCTCACTGTCTTACAAGTTCCTTTTTTCACTTCTTTCCATGTCATTATATGTTCCGTAGTGTCCTCCTTGAACAGGTAAGAAACAAACTCAGAGGTCATACAGCTTGCCAAGGTCAGCCAGGAAATGGCAAAGCACTGTCTGAACCTGGAGCTTGTGATTTCTCCTCAACTCCGTTGTGCCCCCATTAACACGGGCCTCGCTCTCTGCGCCCAGCGTGGGCTCTTAGTCACAGGTGCCCTTCCCAGGGCTGCCCTGGGGTCTGTCTGCCAGGTGAATGTGTCAGGCTTTCTGAGGTTCTGCCAGGAGAGCATTGCCATGAAGGATTTTCCTAATTGCTTTTTATTTTTTCCTGTCACACAGTTAGTATACACTCATTTTTCTATTCTTTTTTTTTTAATCCTCAACCGAGGACATTTTTGCATTTATCCTCAGATAGAGCAGGATGGAGAGAGGGGGTAAGAGAGAGAGAGAAACATTGATGTGAGAGAGTCACACGGAGTGGTTGCCACCCACACAACCCTAATCGGGGCCGGGGACAAACTGCAACCGAGGTACGTGCCCTTAGCGGGAACCAAACCCAGGACTCTCAGGTCCGCGGGCCGACGCTCTAACCGCTGAGCCAAATCGGCCAGGGCTCATTTTTCTTTTTTTTTTTATGAGTTTATTTCAGCCAAACGGATGGCATATTCTGGAGAACAAGATCTCAAATGTTCTGTACACGAATTTTTCAGACTTTCAGTTTGCAATCGTGTTAAGCATACTGAAAAGTTGCGTGGATGGCACAAAGAACTCTCACATAACCTTGACTGGGTTTGTTAGTTTCTAACTCGCCAGATCTGCTTGCTCTTTCTTCCATATATTACTTTTTATTTATTTTTTATCTGAACCACTGGAAGATCATTTACATACATTGTGCCTCTTTATCCACTGACATCAGTGTGTGTCTCGTGAGAACATAGTCGTTCATGCACGTGACCACAGTACAGTTACATCTAATTCAGGGGGTTCAGCGCTGATTCCTGGCTTTTCTACTTCTCTCCAGTCTGCAGTCTGTATTCCATTTGTTTCCTGCTGATCCAGTGCAGGACTATACACCGCACTGTTGTCATATCTCTTGTCTGCTTATCAGCCTTTCGTAGACTTTGACGAAACGAGTGTTTTTGAAGCGTATAGTAAGGACTGTCTCTCAATTTGGGTTCATCGGGGTTTCCTTTTGCAAGTCAGGTTGTGTGGCTTTTAGCTGGAATAGGGCGTACTCTTTACCTCATAACAGTAACTCCAGACGGTGTGCCCTTGTGTCAACAGGGGAGTCTTGTGACCAGCTGGCCCCCGGAGCCCCCTGCCGTGAAGGAAGAGGAAAGCAGTGAGGAGGAGGCCACGGCAGCCACCGCTGCTGAGGAGCAGGACGCTGTCCCTGCGGAGCTGGCGGAGTGCGCACACCAGAGCCCCAGGAAGACACCCCGAGTGTGAAGACCAGGAGGGCTCCTCGCCAGAAACCAGCCTGCCCTATGAATGGGTGGTGGAGGCTGCAAACCTCCTGATCCCGGCCGTGGGGTCCAGCTTCTCGGAAGCCCTGGACTTGATCGAGTCGGTAATGTTGGTCACGGCATTTCCCAGTGGGCCCAGAGTCACCCCCAGTGGGAGTCGTCTTGTGGGCGTGCGTCCTTCTGTTCACTCATCCCAGTAACATTTACTGAGCTGATGCTAGGTGCCCAGCCTGTGGCCGTGGCCTGGGGACACGGAGACAGTTGCCATCTGGTCCCTACCCTCAGGGGCCTCCTGACTCACAGTGTCCAGCACGGGGTGGGGTGGGAGGGCTCCCCAGAGGTGGTGGCAGCACACTGAGTCCTCTGGGATGGTGGGCAGGGAGGGAGGGTGTTTGAGGCCAGGAACACAGCACAGTTGGCCATGGTGTTTGCTATGCCACAGCTGGTTGGGTGTCCCCAGAGAGGGACCTGGTGGGGCTGGAGTGGTGACTGGGTTCTGATGGCTCAGGTGTTGCAGCCCTGAGGCCTGGCTGGCCATAGAGTGCCCCTTGGGAGAGGGCTCTGCGGTGGGGCTGCACCTCTTGGTGTGGAACAGGTGTCAGGAGTTGATGGGCAAGAGGCCTGGCAACCAGGGGCAGTGGAGTTAGGGGAGATGCCCACATTCGCTTTCCCACTTGGCCTTCCCCATTCGGGAAAAATAATGACGTTTATTGAATAGCGTGAAATGCCAGCCTCAGTTTAATGTACAGTCCACCCAGTATTTAGTGAGGTGTGTCCTTCTGTTTTATTGATTAGACTGAGGCTCAGAAGTCAAATCGTGTACCTAAGGTCATATAGCGAGTAAGCTGGGTGATCTTGACCGTGTGCTGTGCTCTCACTGTCTTGCTTAATGGTGGTTAGAGGATACGGTCCTTGGGGTCCATCTCCAAGACCCTCTGACTCTGGGTCTCATCTTTCAGCCCCATCGGCTGGGACTGGACCGAGCTACAGGGTCCGTCTGTGGTGTCCCTTCCACTCCACGGAATTTTAAGTAGCTTGAGAAGCAGGCTTGATGTCTGCAGCACACAGCTCCGAGGCTGCCCTGTGAGGTCCGGTCCGACCCTCTGGGCTCTAAGGGGACTGTTGAGATATGAGTTGTGCCCAACACTGTTGGCACTTCATGATGTTGCCACCTTCTTCCTCAGACTGTTCTGCATCTTCCTCCACTTGCTGGGCACAGACAAGGGGTGAAGGAAGCTCCCTTCTGTTGAGCATCCAGTGTCTGCGAGGCCCAGTGCTTAACTAGTAATTACGGTGTCTAACATTGGAGACCTGTTATTGGCTATCTGCATACATGCTCTGTTAGTCCTCTCAGCCCTGTGAAGTGGGTGGTAGGCTCGTCTCCAGTGAGGGAACCCCAGGCTCGGGGAGGTTAGGAGGCTTGTCCAGTATCACACAGCTGGTGAGGGCCAGGAGTCAGGCCCAGCGGCTGATGAAGGAGCTGCAGCCTTTGTAGAGCTACGCTTCCGTCGCTCCCCTGCAGCGCCTGCAGGAAGTCCTTGCAGAGAGTGTGCTTGTTAGATGTCATCAACTCGGGGACCTCCCCCAGCTTGTGGGGTTTGCTGCTGGGAACGTGGGCCTGCGCCTGCACTGCGGAGTTGGCCTCCACCCTTAGGAGTGAACTGCTCCATGTCTCCTGCGAGTCCCATGGACCAGAAATCAGGGACCACAGTGGAAGCGTCTGTCCAAACGTCTGAGTTGTAATGTACTGGACAAGGGCTGGGTGTGCCTCTCAGGACTGGTTGCTGCTGATTACTCAGTGGGCAATTGCACACTCTCTGGCCCGGGTTCCTCGGCACACAGGGAGGACAGGGAAGCTTTCCAAGCAGAGATGTTGTGGGGCGGGAAACAGCTTGTGAAGTGGTGGAGAGACACCGTGAGGAGCACGGTGGTGCCTCGCCTCCAGGAACGCGGCTGCAGCCTTGCGCCCATGACTTCCACCTCTAGCGATCTGTAGTAAGGGTACGGCCAAAGTAAAGATTTCTATCCAAGACGTTCATAAAGTAGTTAAATAACTGATGTAGTCATGATGGAATATTTGGCAGTCATAAAAATCCTTATAAAAATTGAAAATTTTTCATCATTTATTCATAGTAAGCATTTAATTCATAGGTAATAGAATTAGGCATTACTATTCTGGAAAAATTTTTTTTTTTATCCTCACCCGAGGACATTTTTTCATTTTTTGTTCAGATAGAGTGGGAGGGAGGGAGAGGGAGAGAGAGAGAGAGAGAGAGAGAGAAAGAGAGAGAGAGAGAGAGAGAAACATCGATGTGAAAGGGACACATCGAGTGGTTGCCACCCGCACGACCAACCAGGGCCAGGGACAAACTGCAACTGAGGTGCGTGCCCTTAGCGGGAACCGAACCCGGGTCTCTCTGGACCGCAGGCTGACGCTCTAACCGCTGAGCAAAACCGGCCAGGGCTTTTCCGGAAATTTTAAATGAAACAAAACACAGGATATAGAAGTCATTTATACTAGGTTAAAAAATACGCAGCCCTGGCCAGTTTGGCTCAGCAGTTAGAGCTTGGCCCGTAGACCAAAGAGTCCCGGGTTTGGTTCCCGCTAAGGGCACATATCTCGGTTGCAGTTTGTCCCTGGCCCCAGTTGGGGTTGTGCAGGTGGCGTCCAGTCTATGTGTCTCTCTCACGTTGATGTTTCTCTCTTCCTTCCTCTCTCTCTCCTGCTCTATGTGAAGATAGATGCAAAAATGTCCTCGGGTGAGGATTAAAAAAAATATGCAAAATACTAGAAATTAAAAATTCCAGTAGTGGTTTCCTACTTTGAGGCAGAGGAGGTGAATAGGTGGACAGACATGGGCTTCAGTGATAAGGTTTTATTTCTTTGGCTTATTGATGGATATCTGGGTTTTCTTTCTCTTTCTCTTTGTGTGTGTGTGTGTGTGTGTGTGTGCTTTTTGTATATTTTAAATATTGCATGGAACATTTTTTATATTTTTATTATTTTATAAAATATGTTTTTATTGATTTTAGAGAGAGAGAAACATCCATCAGCTGCCTCCTACACACCCATGACTGGGAAGCGAGTCCGAAACCTGGGCATGCGCTCTGACTTGTAATCAACTGATGACCTCTTGGTGCATGAGACAGTGCTCAACCAACTGAGCCACACTGGCCTCGGCGAACATTTTTAAAACAATAGTTGCAGTCACATGCACAATGTTTCTTCAGTCTTATTTGCAA